CCCCTCGGTCTCATTTCTTGCTGGGTATAGCGAAGGTCGCGATGGACATGCGCTCTTGCGCACGAGTGTTTACGTATCTCAAGTCATGTGTCGCCATTATTTTGATCTTGAATGAGCGTGGTCTTTAGATATAATTGATTTTAAGGTATTCAAACGAAAGGGTGAGCTAATACGTAATATGCTCTTAAAAGGGTTAATGAAAGAACAGGAAGCATATGTTTATCAAACTGTCAAATGCCCGAATGTGTCGGTTGCTCCTTTACAATTAATCAAAACGTTGCAAATTTGATACCATCCCTAGAGAAAAATTAAACATTTTCAAAGTCACATCAAAATGATAATTTAGAAATTTAGCTTAAATTTCAAGCTGATTTCTCTCGAGAAACATGCACAACCGCCCTTGGACATCATTTTATGCCTATATAGGTCCTATGTTAAAGCAGTTTTCAGCATCACCAAGCCATCACTCCCGATACTTGTCAAAAATACGATGGATTGTTGTCACCAGTCAAACAACAATTTAAAAGTTTCAGTTGAACATTTTCTCATACTCGTCATGTATTAGCTAAAAAAAATCATTCTTGTAAGTCAGAAAACAATGAATTCTCGTAAAACATTAACAATTATCACGATGCCGGGACTGTATAGGTTTGAAATTGAATGGGTCATTGAAAGAAATTATTTGTTTAGTGTGTGTGAAAAACAATATTACAAATCAGGGATAAGAATTTTTCCATTTACCAAAAAAAAAAAAAAAACAGGTTTCAGAAAACACCTGCCGCTAAAAATACCATTTTGGCAGAGAGAAGCGATAGCATTTATCTTCTGCGATAACAGTATCTGAAATACTTCCTGGGTCAAAGTTTTGCGGAATGTTTTGAGCCCAAATCTGTTGCAAAGCTGTCAAAGATTATATCATGGGTTTTACCATATACTAAATTTAAGCACACAATCGTTACTCCGTGGACAAAATAGAATTAATGAAGATTTACTTTAATAATGGTGATTTTTGCCCTTTTACCCAAGCTAAATTTGCTCCAATAATAAGCCTCATGCGAGTTAAATTTGAATAAAGTCTGGTAAGCCGAGTTATCTGATTGCACATAAACATAATAATTTGAATTTCCCAGACTAAAGACACAGTTGCTGCACCTTGTTTTGGAGGCAAGCTTTCGCATAGCGACCACCATCTCTGGAATGGACTGATTCCTTTGTGCCCTTCTTATCCATTGAAAACATTGTACTGGTGCAAGGTGTCTCTTATGTAACTATTAAGCAAAAGCATGCCCCAAATGACGAGGTATTAGGTCTAACAGTTTCTTTGGCATGGAGACTTTTAAAAGTGTTACGTCCACGTGAAGTTAAAGAACTCAGTGTACCAAATTTCATTCTAATGTACCCACAAAAGCTCATTGGTATACAAAAGATCTGATGATTTTCTTGACGGCATCACACTTTGACCAACGTTCACTGTTCATGAGTCCCACGAGAATGAGGTTTCGAATGCGCCCAGAAAGTTTCACACACCTACCTTTCAACGCCCTTCTCGACGAGCCAGAAGATAGCAACGAGGACATCTGGGACTGGCCCAGAGTAGCTCTCTACTTCGACTGTGAAACAACAGCACACCGTGGGCCTCAGCTCTTCTGAATGTGTCCGCCGTGCGCCCCCAACACACGCCAAAGAACGCGGAACAAGCAACTGTGGATGCACAGTTGCTCGCTTGGTGTTCTTTGGCGCGTTATGTGTAAAACGTTCTCTCCGTACCGCGCCAGGATTGAAAGGAATTACCTGTGGCATGCACGTGGTTCACTCGTCACTCAACCCTCGTACAGGGCCGTGCGAAGGGTTGATGGCTTTGCATTGTGATTGGCTACATTGTGAACAACCTGCGGCCGCGAGGTTATCACTTCCTGTTAGCGAAGGGTTATCCTAATATTTAGATTCACTAATGGCAACACATTATCATTAAAAATGGCCTTGGTACAATCATAGTGTGGTAATTTATCTTCGAAGTATCACTGATCACGTGTCGTTTGGAGATATATTTCAAATCATTGGTTATCTTAATCAACTTTGGATGAACGAATAAAGTGCAGTTGGAATCTTTTCAGCAATGAGGAAGAAAACGAAAAAATATCGAATTGGCAACGGCTTACCGCCGCTTTTGTAACGCATTGAGGAGCTCGCGCGCCTGGCAGAAATTTACCCAAAGTGCCTGTGCGTCGTTTGCCTTAACCCCGTGTGACGTATTTCCTCCACTAAAATCTATACAAGGCCATCAGCCCTTCAGGCGCTGGGCAATGAGCGAATGCGTGTGGACGCAAGACACCCACACGCTTGAGTGCACTTTGATCCAAGAACACCTCATCATAAAAATGGAACAATAAGCCTTTCACGAGTAAAATTTAAACTATGCTCTTTAAATTCGCGTGAATATAACACTTTGAATTCTCAATTCTTTAAACACTGTTTCTGTACCTCGTGATTCGGGCAGGCTTTTGTTTAGTTACGTAAGAGACGCCTTACACCAGTACAAAGGAACCAGTCCATTCCAGGGATGGTGGTCGCTATGTAAAAGCTTGCCCCGAATCACAAGGTAACAGTGTCTCTAGTCTTGGGAATTCCAACTGTTATGTTTATGAGCAGTCACTAGCTCAGTGTTTTTATTAATGCAACTCGCAAAAGGCTTATTACCAAGACTCGACGCTGCTGCTACCCGAAATGGAACCAGAGTGGCTTTTCAAATGTGCGCAGTACAACATGCAGCTATTGCTATGTTCTGTGCACTGGTGCATAGTCTACCATTTTGTTTCCGAAAACTGAGACATTCATGTCGCAACTCTCTTGATTAGTAACAGCTCTGGTAATGCCATCACGCAGGGCACAAAAGCGCGCGCTTCTTTATCAGGTTTCCAGTTCTTTCAAAATTGAACATCCGACAGTCTGAAAAAGAGACTGAAGTTATTGGCAAGCTAAGGAGAGCAGCCATCCCACACACACATTAATAAATAAATAACCAAGACCACACCAACTTTTTTCAGTTTTACAAGACATAACCGACTCTTTAATTTGTTTTGACAGACAAAGTCCGTTACCGTTGTTTTGTAAATGTACAGGGAATTGTGCAGTAAAATCTCTATTTTTTGCGTGCCGTTTTATTACCAGCGTCTTGCTTGTCGTTGCACTTTCCTAAAATAGTTTGCACAGAAAATGGACAACGATTAATAACATCTCTCTACGGTTTAAATGGGCTGGGTATAAAGTTCCTTACAAAAGGAAAATTTACAGTGTGCGATGAATTTCGGAATAGCAAAATACCATCGAGTTTATACAATCTAAATTCTTAGTCTCGGGTATTGGAAGGTTTCCGCGAAAAGGGAATAATTCCCAAAAGGTATAAATTGTCCTTTTTAGGAACTAATTTTGTGACATACTTTCTATTTGTTATCGCCTTTTCTTCATCAATTAATTAAACCGATGCTGCCCATGACTCTGTTCAATTGAAGTTTATGTATCTGAAGTAAAAAAAGAAACCAATGACAGAAACAGTCTCTTCGGCAACGAAGGGGGAAAGGTTGCATTCAAATCAAGGACGGCGTGTGGGAAAAGACATTAAATGTGTAAAGGTGAGCCCATCATCTGACTACTACATTATAGCTATTTTGGGAGACAATTTTTTTCTGCCGAGGTTAACTATCCTTCTCTGAAATTACTTAGATAACAATGCGAACTTTTATATCACAGTTACCGTTGTTATTGATCGCTACATATCACAATTAAGCAATACCAACTCTTACTGAATCATGCGCAATCCGGCATTTGCTAAGCATTTATTTTGATGAGAGAATAATAGTTATTTACCTTTGGTTGTAAAGAGGGCGCTCTTTGTAATAGGAATGTACGCGATATAAACACTGGAATCAAGGTTAAGGTGCACTGCAGTCATTAATTCCAAATTACGTTAACGTGCAAATGCGTGTTCGGGGGAACATTGGATATCAGGATCTTAGTCATCCTTCTGACTGAATTTTCGCAAAGGTACAATGTTGCTCCTAAGGCTGAAGTATCGCAGTTTGATTTATGCGACTCGCTACCACCACAACGTCGTAGGCCTAATAGCTGACCTTTCTCTTCGAAAATGTTTTTCGTGACGACACTACTTTTACCTACATGTACATCTACAGCACGAGAAAGATGAACGGTTGTGCGGCCCAGAACTTGCAGTAATCTCACCCTTAGCTGGTTTGCCTCTACATGTACCTTTCACGAGGGCCATACATTCACACAGTCGTACATGTAATAATACATGTATTTGGTGTTTCGATACAACTGGGTGCGATTTTTCTAAACGCTGGATTTTTTTTAAAATTACTGACGGCCACCCGTAGTTTTACCAGTAACTGGTAGGCAAAGATTACGACTGTAACCAGAAAACCTGCAGTCTATCACCAAATTCTGTTTACTACACTGCCGTTGATGGATCTTAGCAAACAGCTATGTCTTAAAAACTCTGAATTTAACGTTTGGTCGAAGGTTTTTTTTTTCTAATCTATTGATTTTCAATACAGATTTATCTGTGATGCCTGAATACATGTTATTTGTAATTACAACTATTGGCATAATGGGGGAAATTCACACAAGTTGTTGGACTATTATTTGGAGGGAAGAAATTTTCGAATGACGCTATCATGATTAATGTAAATGCGAAGGGTATTGGAGTTGAATTCTTGTTTAGTGCAATACGGAACAGGTTGAAGGTTCGGTGTGTAACATGCATTTTTCATCTCTGGGCGAACACCGCACAGAATTTATTCGAAGTATACCGTTTGGTGGAGATAACAGAATAAATATGCGAGATGCCTCATACCGAGGGATCTCGGACCAGTCAGAGAGCAAAAGAAAATATACCCGACTATAAATGAGATGACAATGAAGACGTAAAGCGACTCAGTAAGTCATGAATTTAGAGTGAGTATTTGTGGCAAACGAAATACCGGTATGTTGTGCAACTAGACGACACAAAAGAATTTTCAATTATCTCTGGTTACAAATTACCGATTTGGGAGGTTAACTCCACTTTCTGCCGGTAAACAAAAACAACAACAACGAAAACCCGCAAACACTTCCCCTAAACTGAATTTAAAAGTCTGAGTTGCTGAAAGTTTCAAGTTAGACCAAAATCACCTTTTCCCTTTTTTTCTTCGCTTAATAAAGAGTACACTTTCCTTTACAAGAAATGCCCTTACATGAACAACAGTTTGAAATGATGGAAATGTTTAACAATTTTTGAAAATTAATTTTTAAAAAAAAGCTCCGCACTTTTTCTGTCAATCATCAGAATTTAAGCGTTCACATTAATTACGGCCGGTTAAACTATAAACAATGGATTACAAGTGTACACTTATCAATGTGGCCAACCTTTAAAGGTACATTATACATGTACATAATAATTACAACAAAAGAATTATTTATTAGTAAACAATGTTGCATTCATTTTATCATATCGAGCACACAATAAAGGATGGAAGCACGAACGTAACGACACAAACAATTTTTCTAGACAACTGAGCATCTTTCCCCGAAACAAAATAAAAACAAAAACACAAAGAAAAAAAGTTCTTGATTCCTTTTTGTCAAATCATAATAATAAATAACAATAACACAGTATATTGGAATGAATGCTCTTGCCCATGACAGATACATAAACATGTACAACTGATGACAGCAAAAATTAAAACCTAACTTGAAGTGAAAGTATTAGACAAGTATTGTTACGTAAAACTGTGTTTCAAAGAAAATTGTTATTTTGTCACAATGCGTGTACATAATGTGCACATTCATGGGGCAGAAACAACTGCTCACAATACGGTCGATTCACAATAGTGCGCCCCCAAGAGTTCGCAATGTGTTGGCCGATCACAGCGTGCGAAATCTGTCAACCCTTTCCGAATGTGCATCGGGTCAACAGATTTTGCGCATTGTGATTGGCCAACGCGAAACTCTTGGAGGCGCACTACTGTGAAATGCCCCAATTGAGCAAGAAATGTTTTGCGTCTGAATGCAATACAGAGAAAATGCCACAGTATGGAGAGAATGCGAAATTCAACATGCGATAACTCAAGGTTTTAGAATATCTTGAGATTTTAAGAGGTTTTTAGTTTGTTTTTTTCCCCTGGGTACCTCAAGCCTCAAGTTATCGTGAGGTTTGGCAAGGTGTTACGGGTCTTCTGGGGGTAGCATGGGCTAAAACCTCGAGTTAAATTTGGTTTCATTTCGTATTCTCCAGGGCAGACAACTGCTCCAAGCGACCGAGTACACACCTACTTTACAAGACTACTTCTCAAAAGCAAGGCACAGGACCCGATTGGAAACCGAGACGTTGTAAAGCTGTCCACAGAGCAAAAGACAGTGGATTGGGCAAGCTAGCCTAGGTTTTCAAGGAATCCTGAAAATGATGAATTTGCAGGCCCAACAAACATCTTGACATCCCAACTAGCTCTGAGATTACATCCAATCCCATGGACCCAATGCAATGGTGATCAAGCCTCGGGGGGCCATACGCATCTCTCTCACAGTGGACTTCTTCGCAAATACTCCCTGGTGTGTGCGATGAAGCCCCAATCTCTTCAGATATCAAGTGCTGTGGTCTTGGCCATAAAGAGCCCCTCTGCATATCGGGAGAGGGATAGCCCACGGCGCACACATGCGTAAGCAAGCACGTGCGAGACTGATACCAAATGAGGATCAAAGAAATTGCATACCATGCATGGAGCGTCACTAATTGAGAGCAACGCCAGACATTTTCTCTCTACGCACAACTTTGCACAGCATTAGGGATCTGATGAGCCAATCTGTTTGCATCTTTACGAAGTCGTCTGCAGATTTGACCAGAACAGCATTACATGCTGAAAAGCAGCAGACAAGAAGGGCCCAACGAGGATCAGGTTGAAAATTCATCTCCTCTGCTCTGCGCTCCAGGAAAGAACACAAATAGTCTCATTCAAGACGTCGATTTGGGGCTTACATAGACCAGGTGTCTTAAACCTTACCTATGCATGAAGTACAAAGAGCACAAGCAGATATTGTCAGCATTAACGGCTGCAAGAATTGCACAACTGCAGTCAACCAATTTAACACATTTAAGTTGCACTTAAGATTTTCGGGTGATCATTTCTGATCTTTATACAACGCTGTACAGTGCGCGACCACCAAAATGTAACAGCCATCACAGAACTATCCAACTTCAAGTGGAACAATTTCCAGGCGCAGCTGTACACAGTCGTGATGTTGCTTCTTTTTTTTGCAGTGTGTGCGTTAAGTCGCTTTCGTCTCCCCCTTGCGAGACACTCCTGTCGCACCAAACGCCATCCTGATTCAGCTCCAAGTCTACGTCTGCTGTGAGTGAGTTACAGCCGAACCTGTGCTCAACTGCGCGGCGATCGGGTTACATTCCGGGATGCGCCTCGACCAAACGGACACCATTCTTGGCCCGGCACCTCCCGCAGGATTTCATCATCTCTGGTTGAAAGTTTGTCCGCCCACAATTCCTGCTGTCCCCCCCCATGAAAATGGCCAGTCGGAGCAAAAAATGCCGTCCTGCGGGCTCTTCACTCACACCAGAAAATTACATGTCGCTCCTGCACAGGCGAGAAATCTGCACCACTTCGATGTCAAGTGTTGAGGAAAACAGACCCTCTGAGAATCACCTTGGAAAATGCGGCGGGTGATTTTTTTTTTTAACAGTAATCCACAAGCTACGGCAGCCACATTTCAGGACTCACCTTTTTTTCCTGCCTGACGCGGTTGGCACAGATTCCAGCATTTTCACTCCCAATGGGCCTTGACTGGGTACGGCATGTTAATGACATTTTTGATCTGACACTATTATTTATGCGCATTTTGAGTTTTGCAAACGAAACATTCTGCATACCGTTAATAACAAATCTTGATCTTGGTGAAGCAATTTGATAGTCTGACAGGGTGAACAATTTAAGCAAAAAGGTTGGAGAGAAATGACTTTTTGGGGGTTACAATCTCCTCCTTTTTTTGGGGGGGGGAGATTGGAGCTCTGATTTGCAAATGCTACCATCAATCTTGAAGATGCTGTCACAACGAATGCCTTTGATGCCAACCGGCAGGAGCTTAAGGCGGTAATGAGTTAGGTTAGCGAAAGCCACAAAGTCACGTTTATCAAATGCAGCCATACCGATACACGGGCGCCCTCTGGACCTCGTCCTCGAAACACATTGGGATAACCCCACGATGTCCTCGTGACAACCCTGCCTGCACCGCAGAGCTGGGTTTCACACAGCGCAACAAAAGTTTGGATGTTTGGCAACGGCACAGTCAAAGTTTCTCCAAGACCACTTAAGCTGCAAGTGTAGAAAGAATATTTCTTGACTGATGTACCTACATGGAAACCACTGTTGCCTGCTTACTTTTTTAGACATCATCAAATCACAGATAACGTATTGCAATTGATTTAAGACACCTTCATCTGTCCACCATTCCGTCGGCGAAGTCGTTCCTGCCGCTTTACTTGCTGTTCGACAGTCAGCTCGCTTCAAAAGCGGGAAAGCAGAAATGAAAGGCATGCTTTTGCAGGAATCCGTGGGCACTTGGAAACGTTTTTTTTTTTTAAGAAAAAAAAACTGGTTCGCAGATGACATGTATGCGGAGGAGAATTGCAGAATGAAATCATTTCCTAATGCCCTGGCCTTGTCGTCATGTCTGGGACGGCGGCTGGTTGAGTTGGGTCGATGTCTGCTGCGGTAGCGTGAGCTGCGGTGGTTGCTGCTGCGGAGCTGCTTGCTGTAGGTGACCAAACTGGCCTGCCTGCTGCTGGGGCAGGGTCTGCTGCTGGGCGGGCGCAGCACCCGGCAGCGGCTGCAGCCCGGCAAATGGCGGCTGCTCCCCGGCCCCCGGCTGGTAGCCCTCCACCCGGGGCGCGGCCGGGCCCGTCAGCGTCGGGAACCCCCCTTGGTCCTGGCCGGCTGGGGGTCCCGCCCCCACGTGGGGCGGGGCCGCCTCTGACTGGCTGTAGGGCAGGTGCGGGGGGAGGGCCTGGGACTGCTTCTGGCGGAGGAGGTTATTCTCCCGCTGCAGCTGCTCGTTCTTCTCCAGCAGCCCCTTGATCTGCTCCTTCAGCACCTCCACCTCCTCTCGCACGGCAAAAAGTAGATGACTCTTCACCAGATCCTGTGGACCAACAAAGACACTGAATTCACTACCGACAGCATTAAAAGGTCATCTTATTGACCACCCTCTCCAATCACTGAACCTAACCCCCCTCCCCCTGCCCTTTGGGTTAGGGGTAATCCTCAACCCTTCAAAATCCTCAGTTTGCCCTGTACAAAACATGCATTCATCCCCAATCCAGTAGCTCCTGTTTGGCAAAGCAGTACAGTTCATGTGTATGCACAAGCCAACATAATATAAACAAAGACGACAGGCCAACATGGACATGTGCAATAAAAATAGCGACACAGAGAGAGACAGGTAGATAAAATGTCAGAGTATATGATTTACATTCCCATTTGTCATTCACGTGTTCTCCAAGCTGTACACAAACTTTTGTGGCTTGTGACACAAGCGTGTATTGGGATCTTTAAATGTCACGTACATCCAACATGTACATGTACAGTATCTAACTAGCCCCATCTCCTATGGGAATGTCATCCAATCCTCCGCTGCTTGCATGCGCCCTGACTGCCTTGAGCCCCTGTTTTGTCAAGAATGCCAGGCGGCCGACCGCATTCTGATGAGCTGTTAATGACAGTGAACATGTGCCAAACTTGTGAACGGTAGACGTGGGTAGGCCCAAGCTTTTCATGTACATGTACATGTAGAATGGTGGTGTGTGGGTGGAATTCTTGAGTTGAGCGAGCTTTGTTTCTCATCATCTGCCACATTGATGGATTTGGACACGTTCCTGGAAGTTTCACGAAAATGCATGCTAGGAAGGCTGTGGCCAAAAAGGAAATATCAGATGAAGGATTCTGTGGAACTTGCGTGGTGCAAAATAAACAAAAGGATAAAGAGAAAACTATAAACGTGTGAGTGTTATTGCATCAAACACTTCAAGAATGTGAGTGGCCAACTTCCAGTTAACCCCAACCACACAGAATTAAACAGTAGTGAAGTGTTTAATTCTGTGGGAATAGGTCTGGAAGCCCAGACAGCTGGCTTTTGCATTGGGTTTGGCATACCTCAGAAAAACAAAGTCCAACAGCCTCTGTGCAGAAAGTATGGGGACTTAAACTTTGTGTGAATGGGGAATGTTTGGTCCAGCAACCCTTGGGCAGTTAGGGTTAAGCAATACTGAAAAAAAAAAAGACTAAAAATATGTGGTGTCATCACTCGCAGTGCTTCAAGAATATGCATGGCTGATTTCCAGTTAAGAGGACCTTTCTGTCTGAAATACATGTACATCCGTGTTAAAATCAACCTTTGAGTCGACTCTCGACAAAGCTACATGGGATCAAGCGTGGGCGGGGCACCAGTACAGGTACATGTATATCATTCATACTCGTGAACCAGTTAGCCACAAATAATCAGGATTTTCTACACTGGGACAGACTCTCCAGGTGCCATCTTGACTGGGTCTGATTTTCACCCATGGGACCACCAGACCTGAAGTCCTGTCCTTGGACTCTTGCTGTCTGAAGGAGAAAGATGGCCCACATTTGTGGAATTTCGGTGAACAGGGCCTCTACAAGCAAGTTCTGCAGCAAAATCTTCTTATATCAAAGCGGGGCGTCTATATTTTTGAATCTTGCCATATTTAGAAAATCTACTATGTGATGTCCAAATCTATACATCTTTAGTGAAATTGGGCACTTGCAGTTAAGTTTTACAACAAAATCTTCCCCACTGATATCTATACATGTACATGTATCTCTCAGTCCTGTTGTATGAAAAAATTGCGCATGGATTGAAATGAAAGTTTCGGGACTGCCACAGTGTTTTACTTTTTTGTGTGTGGAAATCTCAGTAATTATTTATGGTATGAGAATAGAAGACCTTCACAAACTTGGCCTCCTGGGAGTTTGAACAGCTTCTCATGTACCCCCCGTAATGTGAACAAACCCAACCAAAACCGCTCAACGATGAGACTAAGGTTGGAATCAATAACATGGCCTCAGACTGGACTGCACATGCTGGGGGAGCCTCCCTTCAGCAATCAATGACGACGACCTCCTGGGGGCCAAGTTTTTTCTAGCGAGCTGCTAAGTGCAGGGGACCAAAACTGGGTTACCGGCCACACAAATAAAACTGTGCAGTGTGCATTTCATGTCACCAGGACCCTGCTGAGTTAATTTTTTTATTTAGCTCTGCGCAATGACTTTGCTTAGCAGATGCCATATTTTGGACTGGCCTGCTGAATGAAAGCGGGCCCTGCGTGGTACGCATCCAGTCTTGGCTTACATGTAGACCTGGATCTACAGGGTACAAAACATTTGCTAAGCCAGGAAAACGTCTGCTTAGTTGAGAGAAGATACCAACCAAATTGGCCCTAGCGTTTACAGAAAAATTATTTCGGTACCGATTGTTTCCTCATTGCGGATGACAGATTTATGAAACCAGCGGCTTGGGGGAAGCTTGCTTTCCAAAGCCATGAAGGTCAAACTTGGAAACCTTGGTGCATCCAAAATGTAAATGGCCCTGTGGGGGCGGGGGAAACGTGTGCCGAGGAGCACATTTTTCCTCCTAGCATCTGCATCAGTGTGCCACGCTCCATCCACCGAGGACTGAACACTATCAGCCTGTGACTCAGCAGACGAAAACTGAAACCTCCAAAATACCTCCCAAATGGAATCAAAACCAAAAAACTAAAAACACGACTGAGTATCACACCGGTACCAACGTCGTGAAGAATCTAATGATAAAAGTGTGTCGAGTGTGCACCGTACGGGATATCAACTTCATACATATGGACACAAATGGATTTCTGACCTTCTTTCCGCTGGTTTTGTTTTTCCTCATTCACCCGCACAGAGGTCAAGTTCAGGGCATCAGATGTATTTATATCCGACTTCCTGCACGCGATACTCACGCCTCTCACAAACATCAGACAGGCAGTACAACTGAACCCAGTAAAAGGTCTACTGTACACGCCACGCGGTCCCCACAGAAAATAGTTTCGCCGGCTTTGAGGAGAGAATTGTCTCGGGCGATTCTTGTTGGTTTTGAACCGCTCTGTGGTGAGCAGCTAAACGCTGTGAATCAAGCATTTGCCAACAAAATTGGGGGAAAGGGGAGATGCTAACATGCCAATTATGCACTGCTGCTATTGTAACTGTTCAACCCGTCGCACTAGCCCATGTCTACAGGTTCCAGAAATGACTGAGGTGGTGACATGCTCTCAACACGAACCCTTTCCATCTTTTCATATTGAATCCCCCCCCCCGCTCACAGAGCATTCAAAGCTTGTTGACGCTTTGATAAGTCCATTGGCACTGCCAAATCCCATTCAGTAGAATATATTGTCGGTCGGCAGAGATTACGTGCCTGTGAATGGACAATGCAATGACACAATGCAATGACACTGGCCATCCCTGAGGTCAAACCGGGTCATACATGTACCTACTGCATCCTAAGCACAGCGAGGGGCCGGAGGTTTATTATGCATTTTTCTTTTCGGTGGAAATCTTTGCTGTTGGTCCACGTTATTGTTGTCGTTGGGGTCAGGACCAAAAGGTCACGCATGGAAAAATCCAAACAGATTACTGCTCCTCTAGCACCAGTCTCACCTTGAATTTATGCCATCCATGCAGAGGCAAAAACTCAATCATTCTACAGCATAACTTTTTTTTCTGTTCATCATTTTGAAGCTTTTATACAAAAAGAGGCAATCTTCTGAGTTAACACCGATCTGGAGGTCCACTGATCTGGTGTCTCAATCTAGCCAACTGTCCTGAGGACAGGCCAAAACAAATTTGGTCACAAAGTTTTTGTTTCTCCAAGTTTGCAAACCCCAATTTTGGACCCAAATCTTAAACTCTCTGCTGTTTCATGTGTCCGAAATGTTGCCTGGATCTCTAAAAGACGACTCGACTACTGATTTCATGGCCCCTGTACCTGCCACAAGTTGGCATGGGGGGCTGGGTACATTGCTCATTCCAAAATGGAGCATCATCGTCTCAAATGAACTGGCTTTCTGTGTAATGTGGCAACCCAGACTCAAAACAAATCACTGCTTCTTGAACAAATATCTGGAAGACCCAAGCTGCCAACAATTTGAATGCATGACCACCCTACTCAATTTGACCTGTTCCAGTGTAAACTGGATGTAATGGCAGAAACTGTTATGTAAATTTTCCGGTTTGCAAACTGTTCAAGTTATTCAATTGTCGTGCCGTGCATGTTGCACTGATTGTTTATCGTTTCAATAATCAATACATTTAAATACAGCTCAACCTTTGGAACACAAAATGGTGCATGCCATGGAGAATGAAAAGCAACAGAAACGTGCTTGTCGATTTTTACTTCAAAAGAAGTAAGAGCATTCATGAAGGTGACAACTTTTAGAGGGTCACTGATACTCTTTTTCCAGAAAAATGTGTGAAGCAAACTGAACTGGCTTCACAGGCAAAATACTCCTAGAGAAAGATCATTCCTAACACTGGTGTCTGGAGGAAAAGGCTATAACGTTTTGGGAAAAGAAAGAACTTAATGTGCCAGGTCTGTAGTGTCAGTTAGCCAGATAAGCGATGTATCGTCACTTTTTTTTTTTATGAGGAAGTATATGGTTACTTACCATAGCCTGCTCTATCTTGTTATCGATGGCCCCACCGGTGGCCGACGTGCTGAAACAAATTGAAGACAAAATATCCTTGTTAGACGAACTCTGTCCTAAATGAATGCGCATCTTTGAATGACCTCGCTCACAGTGTTCCACCGGATTTTAAATGTATGTTCGCCACAGTTCCGTGATTCACTTTTTCTCCCTGTTTTTTTTTTAAGACTGCGTGCAGAGCTCCTGAAAAATGCCGACGTTGCGTGTGGTACCACGAAAGGCGACGTGTCCTCAGGATCCAAATGACCCCCCCTGTTTCCAGATGTCGGGGGTGGGAAATCCAGGATTAACAGCACAGCTGATGGCGTTCCTCACTCTTGGACAAGCCTGGCTTGAGAGGGGCAGAAATCTCCACGGAATGTTCCACAAGCTTGGCTTAGGAGATCAACTCCCCGCCAGATGTGGCAAGTGATCCTTTGTTTTTTTTAACTCTCCCTTTCCTGGCAAGGATCCCAGCTGCATGTGCCGGCTGATTAGAAAGGTCCTTTCTCCCCGCTGACGGAATGTTCTGAGTGTTGCTCAAGGTCACGGGTAGACGCTCGATTCCGGAAATGCCCCAAATTGACTGAATTCCTCAAAGGGGGCTACGGGCTGGAGGAGGAACTGGTTCTGGCAAAGGACCAATACAGCTACCGCTACGTGCGCAGCCGAGATGAATTCTGTGAGACGGTTCGCTTGCCGAGTCTTTCCACTGTGTCAGGAACTGAATATCAATACCCTGCTTGGGACATGCACAGAGCTAGAGACAGCTACAGGCGGAACATGCACTTCCTTTTGATATTCGTAAATTTGCCTTCGGACAAGGCAAAATGGTAACTACACTGTATACCAGCAACGATGGAAGGTGTTATCCTTGACTCCAAACCCAAGAGCACGTTCAGAGAACCACATAACAACTGATCTGAAATAATTGCCAAGCTGGTAACGTCAACACATCACAATTTACAATCTCGAAATGCATGTACGGTTGGAAATGAATAACTGCTCTCCTGACACAAAACTGGCCACGAAGTCTGCCAGTTGTTGACTTGTTTTTTTTTCTCTCCAATTCCAATGAAAAGAGCAAACAATTTGACCATCCAGGAGCCGTGAAAGTGAGAAGACGCTGTGAAATGGCAACATTTGTGATGTGAAAACGAAAGAATCTTCTGGACACATTATATTGTATGTGCAGCAGTTACGTGCATTTCAATGAAATCCCCAATGCAGGGAATCCCTGGACCACTACATGTGTCTCCAGAGGGGAGACCCAAGCATCCACAATGAGGGGTAAATTTTTCCGCATGAAAATTTACCACGTCCACGGGACAAACTCGTCAGTATTTCTGAAGACAAACGTTGCATCAGCCCTGACAACATTTTCAGACAAGTGTAACAAACAATCCTCTTGACAAGTTTAAGCTCCTTTTGTTGGAGGGGCTCGGCACAGTCAAAAAGACACCCCTCTACGTGGACAATGGAACAGGCTTTTGGATTTGACCACGCATGGAAATTTCCACAACTCTATTATTGACCTGTCCCTGACTGCATCATGACCCACTGGTCAAACTACCATTATGTGCATGTACACTGTAGTCAGTGTAGAATTCTATGATGGCAGTTTGCCAATGGTGCCCGCTCAGCATATTTCAATACGTATCAAGGCCAAAGCGTGTTCAGTTCCTAACTTGCATAACTCCACTGGTTTGGACGGTGTTTTGGCCTTGGTACATGTACTGTACCAAAATGCCACTGACACACGACACTCACTGAGGCACCTGACTGCGTCGCAGAAAAATACAATCCAGACAGTCTCATGTGTGTCGCTTCAAATTCTCTCAGAATAAATAATGACTGTGTGAAATAATAAAAACGCATGAACAAGCTCGGTGACTTTGCTTTTACACCCGTCTTTGGTGATACATTGTTTGGAAAGAGTGCATGTTCATGTAGGGTTACAACCGTGTACATGTACACATGGTACGTGTACATTTAATCTGTTTGTCCAAAAGATGCAGTGTAAAGGCTTTACAGTACCAATCCATGTAATTCAACACGACATTGTCCCTAACTGCAGAGAAGGAAACAGAGTGACTAAATACTGATCTGATGATCACGTCATGGTACCTGTCAAAAAGTTTTCAAAACAAATGGGGAAATCCCTATCCCCCAACAACAGAAAAGAAACAGGGAGCCGAGATCTTTGAAGGATTCAACTAAAAGAACCGGTACCCATCAACGGCAGTTTAGAGCTGGACATTTGGAGGGCAGAGATGAATCAGAGAAGTCTTGGAGTGGACTGAATCGGAGCATGCAAACGGCAGGGTGGTTGGTTTTGCTTGCATGGAAATGTACGCAGACTGAAACTTGTGATCTGCTGAGTCATGCGATGCAACAATGCACAGAATCACGACCTTGAATTCCTAACCTCAGACCGCTGGAAGAAACTACTCACATTCACAAGGAAAAAAAGTAAACAAATACAATGACTAAGGGCTTAGAAATATAGAAATCCACATAAACAACTCGCTAGACAAAAAACAAAGTGCCTTGAGCCTGCGATGTTATGCAAGCTGGGGAAACCCATTTAGGCAGTGAAGTGGGAAATTTTTTTTATGTCATTGTCAAGTGCCATGAATGCACCCATACTGGTAGACTGTACACTGTTCCCCAGCCATAGGTTCTTAAAAGTGTCACAATACCAGCGAGAGACCTGCAATCAAGGGAAAATATCAACATTACAAAAATAAAAGTGGCACAATGAATACGGATTTCCTCACTCCCAACATGTTTTTCTAAAGTTACTGGACACTGGGATTGGCTCCTCCGGGCGGTTTTGGAAGATATTGGAGGATTCAGGATGAATGATGACATGAACACTGCAGGATTTTGGAGGATTGAGAATGAACGCTGATTTGCTGGAAGATTTTGGAGGATTGAGGGTGAATGGTGACAGAAGTATGAAAATCAGTCACACAGTGGTGCATCTGGTCACGCATTTTACGGTTTACAATATACATGTACCCAAGGACGGTGTGTTCAATCATTCACTGCTGCTGGTCATAAATTACACAATCCTCAACTGCAGTGTGCTAAAACAAAGGCACATGTCTGCTTTGTTTATTACAAAAGTAAAGCCGTTAGCCAACTCTGCAAAAAACCAACTTCAGCCCAGCAACCAACCTGATGTGCCCAACCGTCCCCCCCCCCAAGAAAAACAAAACAAAAGAAAAAACAAAAAGTAGGGCCATGGAGGATTGAGGATGTGCCCTCGTAAAAAGGCCCTAGCGGGTTAGGGATAAGGTACAACAACGTCCATGACAATACCGATAAATTCCCTTTGCTGTTGTATGAACTGGAAGACTGCCCTACCCACTGCTGCTTCTTTATGTCTAGAGACAAGGAGAGCCTGTACACTTATCATTATTCCAATATCACATCCAAAACGGCCAATCAAAAATGACCCTTGAGTGATCGTGATTTTCATGACCGTTTGTCCTCGGATGGCAGGATTCCAGGATGCCCCACTTTCATGCCTACAGGTATTTTCCATGACTTTCCCCTGACTTTCCAGGACAACTTTTTTTCCCCCCAAGGATTTTTCCATAACTGCGGGAACCCTGAAAGATGAAGGCATTTTTTCAATCCTGGCCAGTTTTACATACATGTAGCAAGAGAACTTGAATTCAAACGTGTGACGTCCGACTCTGGTTTACAAAGCTGGTCACAGTTGAACAGAACACGCCTCTGGGTCTGAATACATGTGTAGTGATTTGAGCCAGTGAAATGGACAAAAACACCTGTTACAAGAGAACTCACGAAATCCAAACTCCCAAATTACAAGTAACATACAGGTGCACTACAAAAAGATCAGCCCAACGTCATTTCAGCAGGCATGGCCCAACCCTGCCCCGCCAACACCCACTTTAATAGCCAGGCCTGCCCTTTGCTGGTAAGCCCCTACCTGTGTAAAATCATGATGACGGTAAGTAGGGCGTGGTCCATCCCCGTGGGGCTCAGCAGGGTGCCCTTCTCCGGCGAGGCGGCCAGCACCCTCAGCCCTTTCAAGTCACCCAGCCCTCCAGTGCAGCAAGTCTTGGGTTTGCCGCTTAAGTCCAGTAGTGGTTTCATTGTGCTCAGCATACACAGCTGGGAGTCTCCCTTCTTGACTCGAATCTCCCTAAGAAGATCTAGTTATTCCAAATCTCAAACTGATCCGGCGAAGACTACCTCGCCGATGATCAAAAGATGGCAGCCAAACAGACAGTTCCGAGGAGATGAAGAAATCATGAAGGGTGAAGTCCGATTGTCCAAAAGAATCTTTTGCAAGTCTCAGATGCTCGTCTCAAAGATGACGACCACAGTGGCTGCGTACATGTATGTGCACGGGAGGGGAAATTCCGCGAGGTGCACCAACTTGGCACGACATCATCTGCTCTACTGAATATTTGATGGGGCTTTGGGGACGGTCGGCTCAAACATGAACAGGGGAGACTATGAGGCAAATGAAGGGTAGTGACAGCACAGAAACAGGGCAATGGCCTCATCAGCCACAATGTATCCACATCTGTCACTGGGTAATGAGATATGGCCTAAAGTGCCGGCATCCAATCGGGTGACCTCTTATGCACAGTGAAACAAATCACAGCCTCTCCAAAATGGCACACATTTCCGTGTGTCAACCATTACAAGTGGACAATCAGACAACTGTATCAAAATCTTATCCAATCACATATCCTCTTACAAAACTCAAGGATTAAAAAAAAAAAAAACCCACTCACACAATAAGTAGACTGTGATACTGACACTGCCCGCAAATTACACAAGTGAAATTTCATCAACTGGCCAACCAACAAGTCGAACCACCAGGAAAAGAGGAAAATGAAACCCCCAAAAAATATGAGATGTGATGCCCAAACCAGCAGCTTGCCCCGGGGGACTTAGCAAATACCTAGAAATTTAACTCCCTGCATTTTCTTCATGGGGCCCCCAATGTTATGCTTGTGCATGTGCATAATGTAGTAAGTCTGG